ATATATGCTCTTAATTATGTTGAGGAATTTCCCTTCAATTCCTACTTTGTTGAGTGTTTTTATCAGGAATGGATGTTGGATTTTGTCAAATGAACAAGGCCTCTTTTAAAGTGGTAATAATTTCAGTGTATGTAAGCACAAAGAGGAAACTTAACCTTTCTTGTGGTTGAAACTGGCAGATAATGCTTCTGTGACACGACTGACCCAAGTGTCATAGGACTGTGCCCTGACCTTTACACCATACAGAAGAGAAGGGAGGTCTTCTAGAGGGTAGCGGTATCTAGGAAAAACACACAAAAATAAAAATCTCAAAAAGCAACACAACTTGAAAATAAATTAAGTTTCAATACAATCAGCTCAAGAAAAGTACAATGTCCAGGGGATGCAATCTTGGTTCACATAAAAAGAAAATCAACAAACTCTTAGAGAGTTTTGCTGCAGGGAAAGATAAGGAACATGTGCAATCAACTGACAAACTAATGTATAGATGACAAGTTTAGGGAAAACCTTAGATGCTGGTCCTGAAACAGGGAGGCATATAGATAAAGAGAAGTTACTAGTAAAGACACAAGGAAGAAAATAACCACGAGAAACATTTAAGACTTGGTTTCATAAAATAGTTGTGGATACCTAAGACATTTCTTCTGCATGGGGCAGGGGCAAAGATCAGTTGGATGGTAGAGACACACAAGCCGCTCAGGATTACATGAACATGTGAGAGCAGAGAGAAAGCATGTGGTTCTGCATGCTGAGCACTGTCGTTCATCATCAGGAACAAGTTCAAATACTTCTTCCTCTGACATCAGGACACCCTAAAATATAATTGATATCATTAGATCAGTTCAAGTATCAAAGAACTTAAGTTATTAATATTTTTTCTGAGTAAATTTTATTTAAGGCATAAACAAAGAATGTACAGTAATGGCACAACATCAAAATACTTCCCAAAAGTAATTATTACTAGTTGCAAGATAATGTACTGGGACTGCAAGGGCGGTTTTAACCACAACATTGGCAGTTCAAACTCACCAGCCACTCCTTGGAAACCCTATACAGTGTCGATATGAGTCGGAACCGACTCAATGGCACTTAACAATAACAAGAAGAATGCACATTTGAGTAAAGAAACCATAAAGAAATAAAATTAAGTGATTACTACAAAGGTCAAAGCAGTAGTTTTTGAAGGGAGAAAAGTACAACTGGGAACTACTTTTAAGGGAGGCTGACAAAATTCTGTTTCTTGACCTGAGTATTAATGATAAGAATGTTACCATACAATTCCTGTATGTTTCTGTTGTCTCATCTTTTTTAAAAACAAAAAAATAATTTTAAAAAACCATTACTGCTCCCAGAAACAATACACTCTTCAACCAAATAAATTACTAATCTCTGATCTGAAAATTACATTGATATGTACAAACATATGCAAGGGCAGAAAAGTACAAAATTACATAAAACTATCCAAATCAAAATATAATCTACTTCCCGAAGACATCAAAAAGAAAAGTCATGTCATGTGCCAGTTGAAGAAAAGAAGAACACTTAAAGTGCATTTTACAAAGACTTCCATTTATATATACAGGTTCTCTATATCTTCTGTTTATTGAGCAAGGTACTTGGAAACCCAATTCTGCTATGAGGGCAAGTTTCTTCCATTTAAACAAGATGAGAACCTGACAAATGATTCACTGAGAGGCACAATTTAGTTCTTTCATCATGCATTTTTTGTTTAGCCAGCAGTTTAATCTAGATGTCTGCTGGCAATACTCTCATAGCTTCCCATGTTGTCATATCGGTGTAGTTCTGACTCACAGTGACCCTGTGTAATGTTTCTTAAGAATGTCAAGTGGTTTTAACTGCCACAACAGCACTTAGTTTTTAAATTATTTTATGCAAAAATGGTTCCAAAATACATTGTACATGTTTCTTTCTTTTTTTTTTTTCTTAAATGTTTTATTGTGAATTATGTGATAGTTTACATGGGAGAACATTAGTTTTACATTCATTCTATCGTATATATCGTCTCATTGCCAT